TAATAGTAACCATTAACAGATTTCATGCAAGCATGCCCTTATTTTTGCGTGTTTCGCACAGGGTGTCAAACTTTAGTTCTTGGTATAAAGTTATTTGTGCATAGTAAATCTTTACAAGTATCTGCTTAACTTGGCCAAAGAACATATTAAATTTAATATCGGGCTGTGAAAGACACAACGCTGATAGATAAAAGAATGACAGCCATCAGTCTGGCTTCAGTGGCTTTAATAATTAGGTAAACAATAAAGGGACAATCAGTGACGGAGAAGATGGGCTGCTCAGTCACGTCTGGTACTGATGGGTTAATGTCTGAAGCGAGTTCAGCACTTGCCAATGTCACGTTCTGAATGGGTCAATCATTCATGGATGATGTGTCACTGCATAAGGAGGATATTAGAGGGAGCGTATGGAAATGAGAGAATTACATGTTATGGACAGCCCATTGTTTTGATACTATGTCCATAGCTCGTTTGCCTGCCTGTTGAAAGGAACTAAGCCATGGAGGCTAGTATGTTGATCTTTCGTGTTTTCAAAAAATAGTTTTTTTTTTTTTTTTATTTCCATTTTACATTTCATTTTGGTTCAAGTTTTAATAATTTTGCTGTGTACTGTCTTTATTTCAATATTTATTTATTGTCATTAACCACAGATGTCTCAAGAAATGTCTACAAAGTACTATTGTTTGAACTGTGTTTCTTTTTTGCAGCTCTGTCCTCATAAGTGCCCAACTGTCAGAAAGCATCAGCTATAGAGAAGTGGAGGTGATTCACCCGGGACCCCCCTCGGGCAGGCCTGCCCCGCACACCTGTCATCATGCCCTGGCCGCCTTTGGGCATGAGAGCGGAGGCTGTGATGGCATCTTAGAGGAAATCTGTGAAATGCATTCCTTTATCAGAGCCATTCACATACTCAGTAACTCTTATCGATCTTAACCGGGTTCAGGCTCATAAGCTATAATACAGGAGATTTGTGCTTACATAAAAAGATGTTTAACTAGTCATATGTTTTCTGTGGGGCGTCATGGGAGCTGAAGAATGTAGGCCTGGTGTCTGTGAATAAATGTGTGCCACTTGTGGCACAAAACAGAATTGGAAAAATAAGTAGTGTTTCCCAACAGTTTTCCCAAACATTCATACCGTCTGCAGTCGAGACTATATAGAATTTAGCTAATTTCTAAAAAGGTAATTACAAAGTTAAAGAGCCAGGCATACTCTTCTTTTTCCCCTATGATATAGTTTACTTGCAGTAGCTACTATATAGAGGTTAAAGTTTGTTGATAAAACATAATAAGAAAATATAAAAAGAAAAAGGATGAAGAAGTAAGGTCAATTTAACAAAACATTTTACACATTTCCCCATTTCCTTTGTGGACTGTGTAAAGTAATCTATTTGAAATATTATATGCTTTACAATTTATTTATTTTTTTACAAATACATCTTTCTGCATTACAGGGAAAACTGCAGATTTTTCTGAAAAGTTGAAAAGTCCCATCGTCTGTAATGGTGTAGACGAGGAGTGGGCAGTGCTAGTTAACTGTGTTTGTTCAGGTTTTTTGATGGATGAAATCATTACATTTCCTCTCATGTTTTTTTATGTTACAGAGGAGATTAGTTATTCTGGGATTTAGAGAAATGTGGCGCATTATACATTTTTAATTGCTGCAGCTGTTAGGCCTCTTATATTGAATATTGTGCTTGACAGGGATACTGATTAAATGAGACAAATCAAAGCCACTGCAAAACCTTGTTATTTTGACCAAAATAGTTTCTCTATTTTTTTTTTCACCATACGTATCTGAGCCCTCCTAATGCATCTCCTGTACGGAATCCATAAACCAGCCGAATCTAAATATCCCGCTTATTAAACAAGGCATCCCACCAGGTCCTTGCTTTTGGAGGCCAGATATAACTTTGCGAAACGCACAATAAAAGTATTCCTGTGTTTGTCAGAAGCCATTTCTATTTTTGCTGTCAAGCTAATTAGGGGCACCAATCAAACGGAGACAGTTTTTGATTTTCATGCTCGGTTGAGGTAATAGAATGTTTGTTCATGAGAGCTGATTGGGTTGCGCTCATGTGAATGTTGTTGTTGGTGCATTAGTGTCGTCGTATGACACTCTGATACGGGCCAGTGACAGATGCCCTGCTTTAGCCCGATCTCCCTTGGGACATCATCATGACAGCTCACATTTCCTCCTATCCTCAATCTCTCACTCAAATGATGAGCAGGAACTCCACTGAGCTTCTCTGGCACTTGTTCTAGTGTCAGAGATCTTTTCGTCAATCTTGATATTCGTGCTAGATTCGGATAGTTCACCCAAAAATGAAAATTCATTTGAGCCCCAAGGGGCTAAAACATTTCAAAATATCTTCTTTGTGTTCCACAGAACAAAGAAAGCCATATTGGGTTGGAACAACGTGGGAGTGAGTAAATCAGTGTTATGATTTATTTTATATACTATTATAGTATTAATATTTTAAATTAGCTTCAATTTTTAATATTTTCAGTTTTTATTTTAATTTTAGTATAAGTTTTAAAAATGAATATATTAATACTTTAACTAAAAATTTTCAGTTAGCTGCAAGACACCATATTTTATTTAATTTTATTTCAGCATTATTTCAGTTTTAGTATTTGTTGTTTTAGCGAGCAAAAATAAGACTGATGGTTCACCCAAAAGTTTTAATTCTGCCCATGTAAACATGGACTTGGACAAATGGTTATTTAATATAGCTTATATTTGAAAAAAACAATGCAGAATTATGTTGTGTACATTTTAAAGTGTCATGGCCCTCTATCAGAATCCAGAGTTTTGAGAAGATTGGAGAAACTTAATTTTTCGCCCGAAAAAAAAAACAAAAAAAAAACGAAAGGGGTACCACTGTCGTTTTTTTTTTTTCGGGTCGAATTTTTGAGTTTCGATATCTCAGCTCTGGAAGGGTCTAGAGCCTCCATTTTTGCACTCAGGTTAAAGTCTCATGGCCCTCTATCAGAATCCAGAGTTTTGAGAAGATTGGAGAAACTTAATTTTTTGCCCAAAAAAAACAAAAAACGAAAGGGGTACCACTGTCGTTTTTTTCGGGTCGAATTTTGAGTTTCGATATCTCAGCTCTGGAAGGGTCTAGAGCCTCCATTTTTGCACTCAGGTAAAGTCTCATGGCCCTCTATCAGAATCCAGAGTTTGAGAAGATTGGAGAAACTTAATTTTTCACCCGAAAAAAAAAAAAAAACGAAAGGGGTACCACTGTCGTTTTTTTTTTTTCGGTCGAATTTTTGAGTTTCGATATCTCAGCTCTGGAAGGGTCTAGAGCCTCCATTTTGCACTCAGGTTAAAGTCTCATGGCCCTCTATCAGAATCCAGAGTTTTGAGAAGATTGGAGAAACTTAATTTTTCGCCCAAAAAAAACAAAAACGAAAGGGGTACCACTGTCGTTTTTTTTTTTCGGGTCGAATTTTTGAGTTTCGATATCTCAGCTCTGGAAGGGTCTAGAGCCTCCATTTTTGCACTCAGGTTAAAGTCTCATGGCCCTCTATCAGAATCCAGAGTTTTGAGAAGATTGGAGAAACTTAATTTTTCGCCCAAAAAAAAAACGAAAGGGGTACCACTGTCGTTTTTTTTTTCGGGTTGAATTTTTGAGTTTCGATATCTCAGCTCTGGAAGGGTCTAGAGCCTCCATTTTTGCACTCAGGTTAAAGTCTCATGGCCCTCTATCAGAATCCAGAGTTTTGAGAAGATTGGAGAAACTTAATTTTTCCCCCCAAAAAAAAAAACGAAAGGGTACCACTGTCGTTTTTTTTTTTTTCGGGTCGAATTTTTGAGTTTCGATATCTCAGCTCTGGAAG